ATTTATGTTTATTTCTTCACGATTACTGGTGTTTTAACTATTGTTGTTAATGGTGGGGGTAGTGCTGTGACTTCCATCATTATTTTCGGTGTTTTTACCATCGTCATCATCACCACCACCATTCCCATCATCATTATCATCATAATCATCATCCGTCATCTTCTTTGTCATCTTCGTCACCATCCTCACCATCTTCAATTTTATCATCACTACCATTAAAACGATTATGACCATTATAACCGTTGTTATTATTATAATTATAACTTTCATTATTATCATTACTATTGTTATTAGCATTAATATCATCATTATTACTATCACTGTTATCATGATTATCATAATTACAGGCGCCATGGAGGTTGTTTTTGGTTGCGTTGATTAGTTTGTTAAGTTTGATAATTATTATTATTTATTATCATTATCATTATTATTATTATTATTATTTTATTTTTTATTATATTATTATTATCACCATCATTCATCAAGTGTCGTCATCATCATCATCATCGTTATTATTGATATTGTTATCATTGTTAATGCTTTTTCACTGTTATTATTATTAATATTATTATTGTTATCATTATCATTATCAATATCATTAGTCACCATTACTGTTATTATCATCATTGTCATTATTATTCTTATTATTACTATCGTTATTAATAGTAATATTGTTGTCATGATTATAACAATCATTGTTAATGTTATTATTATTGTTAATATTGTTGTCATCGTTGTTATTACAATTATCAGTATTATAATCATGATCTTTTATTATCATTATCATCGTCAGTATCAGTATTATTAGTGCTATAATTATTATCGTTATGGTTAAGATTACTACTGTGGTTATTGCTGTAGAATGCTGCAACTATCGTTATCACTATTGCCATTGCACCGACAAAACAACTGTAATAAAGGTCTGTATACTTTTGTATACAATGTAGACATTTTCATCTCTCTCTCTCTCTCTCTCTCTCTCTCTCCTCTCTCTCTCTCTTCTCTCTTCTCTCACTCTCTCTCTCTCTCTCTCTCTCTCTCTCTCTCTCTCTCTCTCTCTCTCTCTCTCTCTCTCTCTTCTCTTCTCTCTCTCACTCTCTCAAATATGTATATATATATATATATATATATATATATATATATATATATATATATATATATATATATATTATATATATTATATATATATTTATATATATATATATATATATATATATATATATATATATATTATATTTAATATATGTATATATATATATATATATATATATATATATATATATATATATATATATATATATTATATATTATATATATATATATATATATATATATATATATATGTATATATATATATTATATATATATATATATATATATATATATATATATATATATATATATATATATTATATATATATATATATATATATATATATATATATATATATATATATATATATATATATATATATATATATATATATATATATATATTATATATATATATATATATATATATATATATATATATATATATATATATATATATACATATATATATACGCACACACATATATACATTTGCAAGAGGTGTGCTTCCTTTCACATTCCTTGGAGAGTTATCCTTCTCCTCCTCCTCCTCCTCCTCCTCCTTCTCCTCTCCTTCTCCTTCTCCGCCTCATAATCCAGCAACTTTCTAACTCTTATCCAGCTCGAAATTATATCAGTAAAGCCTTACAAGATTCTCTTATCGAATTTACTATCTTTAACTGAATGCTTTCAATGAGTTCTGGTTTTCGAGCGGGGGGGGGGAGGGGGGGGGGGGGAGGGAAGGAGAGGGGAGGTGGTTGTGGAGGGAGAGGAGGGAGGAGGGGAGGGGAGGGGAGGCTGTGGAGGGAGAGGGGGGAGGGAGGGGAGGTGGCTGTGGAGGGGAGGAGGAGGGAAGAGGAGTGGTTGTGGAGGGAGGGGAGGGGAGGAGGGGAGGGGAGGAGAGGAGGGAAGGGAGGGAGGGGAGGGAGGGGAGGGGGAGGGAGAGGAAGGAGGGAGGGAGGGAGGAAGAGGGAGTGGTGTGGAGGAGAGGAGGGAGGGAGGGGGGGAGGGAGGATGGGGGGGGCGTAAAAGTATATGATATTGATTTCCTGAAGTCACTTCACTGTAAACAAAGTTATATACGTTGGCGCGAGTTATTTTCTGGCTGCCTGAACTTCTTATATATTTTTAAAGAGGATTTGATTTCACTCGCTTTTTCTTATTTGATGATGATGATATCTTGACGCCTTCGTGGAGAAATAAAGTCCGTTTCTTCCTGTTCCTATTGATTATTTTTTTATTTTTCGTTTTTCACATTATCATTGTTGTTATCAATATTATTATTGTTGTTCTGCTGTCTATAGAAAGTATACCATCATTGCAATATATCATCACATCATAAATATCATAATCCTCTCTATTTTTAATGTTTTATTATCATCATCATTATCCTCATTATACCACTATACTCTTACCACATTCACAATCGTCAAATCATCCCCTTTATAACTATAATTTCCTAGCATCATCATCATCATCGCTGTCATTATTATTTCTAAAATATTTTTGACTCGATTTTTTCCTACGATTGTCACTTGATCCGACTCCGTTCTCCGCGCGTAGAATTCGACACCTTCTCTTCTGGTCTATTTTCCCTATAAGGTATTCGATTCTAAGATCTTTCCCGTTTTCTTTATTCTTTTCTTTATTTTTTCTCTCTCTCGCGTGGAATTTATACATTTCACGCTCTCCTGCGTTTTTCTTTTGTTTATTGTTTCTGTTTGTATTATTTGTTTATGTATTTGTTTATTTTTTGGAAATGCTTGGTAGATTTAGCCGTCATTATCACTTTATTATTGTCGATATAAATTATCATCATTATTATCAGAATAATGGGATATATATTGTAATCATCATCATCGTCATTATTATTATCATTATTATCATTATTAGTATTATTATTACTATTACAATATCATTATCATTATTACTGTTATTGTCATCCTCATCATTATCACCACAATTACTATTATTTTATCTTTTTCATCACCATTATCATTATCACCATTATCATTGTTATATCATTATCATTATCATTACTACCACTATTATTATCATTGTTACTATCATTATTGTCATTAGTACTATCATCATCACTTAGTTTATTATTACAATTATCAGAATTATCATTACAATCCTTTTCTTCATCATCATCATTGTCATTATCAATATTATTATTATGATAATTGATATAATGACAGCTGTGAAGCGACGTCTCGTGAACGTTATTTCTTTATCTTTATTATCACTGCCATTATCATTATCATTATCCTTGTCATCAATTCTATTATTATTATCATCGTGATAGTTACTATTATCCTCGTTATTACCACCGTTATCATCATTATCATCATTATCATTACTGTTGTTGTTATGACCATCATCCTTGTTATCAAAGTTATTATAATGATCCCCTTAATTCTTATTAATATCGTTTTCATTATTATTATCAGTATCATAATGAATATCATTATCATAATTGTTTTCACTGCTTCGGTTGCTATCACAGTCACCATTGTCAATGATGTTCTCATTATTTCTTCATTATATGCGACATTACTCATTCTATCATCATCACTAGCAGCATTATTGTTATCATAATCTTTGTTGTTACTGTCCTTATCAATAAACCTAATTTGTTTATAATGATCTTTTTCTGGCATCATTATCATCATCTTTATCACTATAATACTCGAACTGGTTATTATCAATGATATTGTCATTAGGATTATTGTCATCATCTTGATCAATGTCGTCAAAATCACCTTCATCATCATTATAATCACCATATGGTTACTATCATTATCATTATTAGAATTTTCATTATAATTACCAAGAATGACAGTGGGCGCTTTCTTAACATTGTCAAAGCCACCGTCATTACTGCGATTTATCATAACCATTATCCTAATCAGTGCCATCATTTTAATCATCATAATTACCCTTAACCAACCCCCCTTAGGTTGGAAAATGCCTGATGTCATGGAGATACCCAGTTAAGGGCGGTAGGGAAAGGGTCCCCATTATAATTGCTAATCGGTGTTACTATGATTATCATGATTAACAGCGCTATCACTGTCATTTCTCTTTATAACTACGCCATCAAAATTATCATCGTTAGCTGTGTTATTGTTTATTTTTTCTCCACTTCAGTGACTATTTTTATTATCGTCGTTGGCAATTTTATAATAAGAATTGTTACTACCATCTTTATTGTGATTCTTCTTAATATTAATTATTCAATATTCTATAACTTTCTAAATCGGACGCTTTAACCCTTTTTTTAAATAAATTAAGATGATTTAACAGACCCATTGCTTGCTTTAATTAATAGGAAGTGCACCTCCTCTCATCCGAAAGTTTATTTTCATTTTTTTCAAAGCGGTTTTATATAGTTTTGTTTTCAAGAAACAATGGACCTTCTCCTTCCTATGCGAGTCAAGCATTCATTGAATATTCATGAGTCATATTTTACATCTACTTACGAAACATGATTATTCATAATGAGCAATAAAAAATTAACCATGTTGACAGATGACATGTGAGAGAGAGACTGGAACATATTCCTTTATATCAGTAAGTTGAAAGTTGGCCATTATAATGTGTGCATGATGTCGGACCTACGTGCTTTCCCTGTATTATCAACTTGACTTAAGCAAACTTGACTCCGAATCTTTAAAGTTACATATCACACGTCAACCTAACTCAGGAATGAAAATTTTATCAGACATCTGAGCACTGGTTTATTTAGAGATAAAAAAGTGCGATGTCTGGCAGGAAGAGAGCAAGTATTTAAGAAAAAAAAAAAAGAGAAGAAAAAAAAAAAGTGAAGGTTGCTGTCCGGCTCATGGCGGCTGAGAAACGACGTCTTGCGAATTCGGATCCCCTTTACGAGACATCTGATCGTTCCCTTGTGGAATTCGACTTTCTATTCATATGATTTTATTATGTAAACCTCGACGTCGCTGGCCTCCCTGTCCGACTCGTCTGGAGACTCGACCGAGGTGCGTGCGAGCGGTGTTGGAGCAGGTCTGGCGATGCTCATTTGTTTATTCGCGCAAGTTTTGCCGCATTTATATTCTGATTGGGCGCTTAAACTCCCGAACTGCGCGCGGAAGGCGGGCGATCTCGAGAGAGTCGCTTCAGCGGAATGGTAAGAATTATCGGACAGAAGGGTTGGGATTGAAAAAAAATAAGATGAAGATCAAGATTAAGAAAAATGATTGCGATTTGTATCTGTTTGCAATTTGTTAAGATTAAAGTGGGAATTAAAATAATAGGACTATCAAAGTTGCGAAATTTATTAGGATTGCGATTAAATCCATTATGTAGAAAATTATTATGATTCAGAAAACGATGATAAAAATCAAAACAACAACTGAGAGTCCTATCAAAGTTGCGAAAATTATTACGATCAGAACGAAAAGAAAGCACGAAAACGATTAAGATCATTGATTAGGAAGATTAAGATCATAAGTAAATCATTAAGATCATTGTTTAGGAAGATTAAGATCATAAGTAACTCATTAATATCATTGATTAGGAGAATTATGAAGACAAAGCGAGGACGGAGACTCGGCGGTCGCTCGCAAGGAGTCCCGGGCCCGCCTCTCGTCTCACTCCTCGCGTGCCAGAGGAGCAAGTCCGCCGCGGCCTCTTATCACTTACAAATATTGTGCAGCGTCGCGTCGGGCGTCCTGTCATGTCGGCGCGGGCGGAGTCATGTCGAGGCGAGAATGAGAAACTTCATGTTGCGAGACAGATACACTCGGGCTTGTGATAGTTGTATAATTCATGATTAAAGACACGGGGAGACAGAGGTTCGGGGCCGTAAATAATCAGCGGTCTCGTGTCGGGCGGATGTCTGTGTTTAGGAGAGTTAATGAGGCGATGCGCTGTTCGCTATTATTTTATTTTCAACAAGGTTTAGATACAATGGCACAAAATCTTAATTACAGACGGAGCATTTTTTATTTATGATAAGAAAGATTAATCATTCAGCTTATCAGGTTATTTATGACACTAAGACACTCATTATGGTGTCTTGTGTTTACATTTTTCATAATTTGTTTGTTTGTGTTATTGTTCTAAAGATGCATATATCTAAACTTGACAATTGTCAAGTTTACAATCACATTCTAAATCTTCTTGAGAATCTCACACACGAAGTTATGCTGATAACTTCAGTTTCTAAGTAAAAAAAGTATAAATGAGAACGAATGCTAATTCTGTTGGAGATGTAACACCAAAAACATTATTTTACATCAGCTGATTTGAACTTATTCGTTCTCACTCTGACCTTCTCTACGCTTGTCGCAATGACCAAATGCTTTGCGAATATGACATGATCATTTCCAACAAAAATATTAAGGAAAAAAAATTAAAGAGAGCTGCATAAAAGCAATCTAGGGAGACACAGGAAGGGACGGACAAAAGGGACTTGGTGATGAGATCCGTGATGGAGAGCCTCAGCCGCTGCAAGGGTTTGGTCGCTCCATCAAGCTAGAATACTTAAACAACTACTTAAACGCGACCAACTCTTACAACAACAACAGAAAAAATAATGAAAACAAATGCATTACAAGTTTTACACAAAGACTACAAGTGTGACACTAAAAAAAAGCTAGATCACCTGTATCTAGCGAGGAATTTTGCTAGACAGATTGTATCTCGCGGGAAAATCGCTAGATAGATACACAATCTAATGCTGTCGAAGCCACAACTACGGTTTTATAAGACATCTAAAACGTATTTGAAAAAGATCCTTAGATATTAACGTCCCGCACTCATGGGTGGAGACCAGCTCCTTCTCCAGGTGCAGGGTCTTAGGATAAAGGCTGGGGATTTAGCGTTTGGGTTTAAGAAAGTAAAAGGGCTAAGAGCAGCAAAAAATGGAAAGTAACACAGGATGAAACTTCCTTTTAATGCTCTTAGAAGTCTGAATGTGAGGGAGGTCTCTGTTGCGAGGGAGAAGTAAATAGAAATATTGTAAGGGGATGAATATTAAGGTCCTGCTGGTTAAGGATTAACAGCAAGCTATGGAAGGTTACAGTGAGATATGCAACGCGCCCCCATCTGAAGGGAGAGGGCTTTGTAGAAGGGGTCTAAAGGCTATTTCGTAAGGTATCTGTAGCTTCCGACACTCTCTCCGTTGATCAGAAGTTTTCATTCTAACACTACAATGCGTTTGTAAGGATTGTGTACATGTAGATTATCCTACACAAACCAAGGAGATTGTTTTACTAACCAGGACATTATACATGGTAGTTTCGCGAACTATGCCACACATACAGAACTGATCCAATGTAGCTCTAAAAAAAAAAAAAAGAAAAAAAAAAACTTTAGCCCATCATCTTACACTTGAGCGAAATGCATCAACAACTCATCTTAATGTACATTAGGAACGAC